CATGGGGCCCTCCCGGTCGTGGCCACGGAGAGCCGGGGCGGGGCGGCGGGATGCCGGCGGGATACAGGATGTGGATGCCCATGGGATGCGGGACACGGGATGCCCATGGGATATGGGATGTGGGACATCCATGGGATGCCCATGGGATGCGGGATACGGGATGCTCATGGGATATGGGAATTGGGATGTCTATGGGATGCAGGATGCCCGCGGGATGTGGGACGTGGGATGTGGGGTACAGGATGCCCATGGGATATGGGAATTGGGATGTCCATGGGATGCAGGATGCCCACGGGATGCAGGATGCCCACAAGATGCCCACAGGATACAGGATGCTCACGGGATGCAGGATGCCCATGGGATGAAGGATATGGGATGCCCGTGGAATGTGGGATATGGGATGCCCGTGGGATACAGGATGTGGGATGCCCGTGGGATATGGGATGCCCATGGGATACGGAAAGTGGGATGCCCACAGGATGTGGGATGCGGGACGCAGGTCCCATCATGTCGCCCCCCCGGGTGCCAGCAAGGTGGGGGTGCCCCACCTGCTCTCCTCGCCCTCCAGCAGCTTCCTGTAGGTCGCGATCTCGATGTCCAGGGCCAGCTTGACGTTCATCAGCTCCTGGTACTCACGGAGCTGCCGGGCCATGTCCTGCTTCGCCTTCTGCAGGGCAGCCTCCAGCTCCTCCAGCTTTGTCTTGGCATTTTTGACAGCCAACTCACCACGTTCCTCGGCTTCAGTAATGGCTGCCTCCAGCTTGGCACGCTGCAGGGACGGAGCAGGGTACGTCAGTGGGCATCTCGCCTCCTTGGTGGAAGACACCATTGCCCATGGACTCCTGACATCTACTGGCCAGACCATCTCTGTGTATCTGCAGAGCCCTGGAGCCATCTGCTCAACTTAGATCACTAGAAATTCATGCCTACGCATTTTTTTGGGCATTGGATGGAGATCAGCCTGCAAAGAGAGCTCATCTCATCCCAAGATACGTTCTTCTGAAAGGCAGACCCTATTTCTCTCCACTGGCTACATTTTTGGAAGACTTTCTTTAGGTGATCCTCAGCTTCTCAGCCCACCCACACTGCACACAACAGCACAACACTTAGGGTTAATGCAAGCTCAGGTTTTCCCTCCTATTGTGCCCCAGAGCTTGTTCAGAGCCAATTGGTCTCCAGCGAGCTTTGATGTGAGGCAAGCATGGACTCGAGCAGACCTGCAGTTAAAAAAACAACACAGAGCTACCCCAAAAGCATCCCTGTGGGGCCACATCAAGCTGGCACTCTAACGCACCCTCAGCTGTGTCCCCTGCACCTCCAAAAAAGCCCCATGTTTGGCAGGAAGGGCTCACAATGAACACGAGTGCTTTATACTCTCATTCATTATTCAAGGGAGCTGCACTGGGTCAGCTCTTTGCTTGGAAGTGTGTGTTGAAGCCTCCCTGCCCTGAAACCAAATAAACACAAGTGGATGAATCACAATGGCTTATCTCCAGCTTTGTGCACCCTGGTTATTCACAGCCAGTCTTCAGACCCGAACATGGTCTGAACCACTCACTGGTCTGGCTTTCACCAGCCATTTCATGAAGTGATAACGGCCCCTGGAGAAAGCAAACAGAACTCCCGTACAGCTGAAAAATTCTTTTATGTGCCCAAACATGGTGTTCCCTTCTGCTAAAAGGGAGTGGACAAAGATCCCAGAAGCAAAAGGGTACAAGGAATGCGGGTGGCTGGGAGGGAGGCCACATGCAGCCTTGCCCTTTGGAAACGGCTCTGCATCACTCCCCTGCTGCGCTCCCAGGTCGCTGGCGAACTTGTTCTCACCTATAGTTCAGCTGCCTCTCAGTATTTCATTGCTCACAGCACAGTTTCTCCCTCCAGCAGAACTGACATCTTTTGAGGCGAGCATTGCAACCACCCCCAAACTGCTTCTACAGACGTCCCCCCAGGCTATGACCCCCCCACTGGTGTGGGAGGGCGGCAGCGGGAGGAGCGGGCAGCGTCTCCCCGCTTTCCCGCCCCGGGCGCGATTCCCAGACCTGGTTCTTGAGCGCTTCGATCTCCGCCTGGATCCTCTGGATCAGCCTGTTGAGCTCGTTGATCTCGCTGCGGGTGTTGCGCAGGTCGTCCCCGTGCTTCCCCGCCGTCGTCTTCAACTCCTCGTACTGCGGGGACCGGAGCGGGCAGGATGGAGATGGGGATGCCCTTCCCCCTCCTCCTCCTTTCCCTCAGCACCCCAAAATTGGGGAGAAAAGAGCCGGGCTGGGCCCGTGCCGGGAGCGATGCCGCGGGCTGGGCTGTCGCGCCTCCAGTTGGATTTGGAGCCGGGATCTCTCCCACGCAGCAGCCGCCTGCTCCGGGGCAGGGCGGGCGTTTGCCCGGCTGGGTTGAAGGGTAAAGCCGGGGAGAGGAGGAGGAGGGAGCCCGTCCTTCCTTCATCCCAGATCGGGGAGCAGCGGGGACCACCGGAGGGGAGGCCGGAGCATCCCGCATCCCGGGGCTGGAGCTCCGGCTCACCTTGATCTGGTACATGCTCTCGGCCTCGGCGCGGCTGCGGTTGGCGATTTCCTCGTACTGCGCCTTCACCTCAGCGATGATCCCGTCCAGGTCCAGGCTGCGGTTGTTGTCCATGGAGAGGACGACGGAGGTGTCAGAGATCTGAGACTGCAGCTCCCGGAGCTCCTGG